AGAGAGAGAGAGAGAGAGAGAGAGAGAGAGAGAGAGAGAGAGAGAGAGAGAGAGAGAGAGAGAGGGGGGGGGTTGTGGGGAGAAAGTCTCTGGCAAGAGTCGGGACTCTGGAGATCATACTGGTGAGGAGCTCTGTTACGAGGCAGGCAGTTCCAACACGCATTGAAGGGTCACAGCTCGCCATCCCACAGTTCATCGATGGACTTCGGCCCGAGACCCGTCTCCCTTATGAAGATATCCCCATCCAGAAGCCTCGCCTGGTGTTTATACGCTGTGCTAATCCGCTCAAAGTCTTCCTGTGGTAACTCCCAGTCCAGCACATCTATGTTCTCCTTCAGGCGGTTTAGCGATACCGACTTGGCCAGTACGCTGGTCCCCCTCTGCACCCCCCACCTTATCAATACCTGCGCTGCCGTCTTGCCTATATTTTTCCCCACTTCCACCACCGTGGGATCCTTCATCAAATCGATGTGCAGCTCCGGCCGGTTCGCGCGCAGAATAGGAATGCTGTCCGGAGACCCTAGGGGGGAATAGGCAGAGACATGAATAGACTGGCTCTTACAGAAGTCCAGCAGCTTGTCGTTCCGCCAAAGCGGGTGCGTTTCCACCTGGTTGACGGCGGGGGGAATCTCCGCCGTCTCCAGAAGCTTCTGCAGCTTCTTCACACTGAAATTGCTCACGCCTATGTCTTTGACCAAGCCTTTGCGAACCAGATCCTCCATTGCGCGCCAAGTGGCTGCCATGTCGAACTCCACCAACTCTTGGCCGTCAATCCCGAGGCTCTCGTCTCGCTTCGCCCTGAGAGGCCAATGGATAAGATAAAGATCAAGATAGTCCAGGTTCAGGTCCCGAAGAGAGGTGCGCAAGCATGCTTCCACGTCCTCCGGGGCAAGGAAGTTCATCCAGACCTTGGACGTAATGAACAGCTCCTCGCGTTTGACGACGCCAGACTCAAAGGCTGCCTGGAGCCCTTGCCCGACGCCTTGCTCGTTCAAGTACCTCCACGCGCAGTCCACGTGTCGATATCCAGCGTGAGCAACGGCTTTGTATACGGCGGACTTGGCATCCTCAGGGGTCATCTTCCATGTGCCTAGCCCAATGGCCGGAATGAAACGCCCGGAGTTCAGCGCAAACCGCTTCGCATCGCCCCCGACCGTCATGGCGGCAGACACTTTCGCGGTATAATAAGAGAGGGAGGGCGAGAACGATGAAGACGGAGGCTATGGATGCCACGAGCGCGAAGAAGACGAAGAAGAACAAGAAGAAGAGAATGCAAGGGGAGCAGGAGGAGGAGATGGAGGGAAAGCGGGATGGAGCAAGCTCGAGGTTGGAGGAAGAGGAGGAGGAGGAGGAGGAGGAGGAGGAGGAGAATGGAAGGAGGACGCAAGGAGCAAGCGGCGGGAGAGGGGTGGAGGAGACCGAGGAGGAGGAGGAGGAGGAGGAGGGGGTGACTACGAGCGGCTGCAGAAGGGGAGAGGGACGTGTACGGTGGGGGGCAACTCGGGGGCGAAGCAATCAAAGGCAGGGAATTGCCACACCACTCAGCGATGTGCAAAATGAGAATGAATCTTCCGCTAGAACGTGGAGCGATACACCATCATTATTTTTGTGTGGGTGAGCGGCGCGGTGAGGCCCACACCTCTGCGTCTGGGATGGCGTTCAGAATGATGTTATCCCGCCGAACCTAACTTGTTAGACCATACCTTTCTCGGCCTTTTGGCTAAGATCAAGCGTAGTATCTGTTCTGATCAGTTTCATATCGGATCTGTGGTCCATCGGATCACACACACACACCAAAAAAAAAAAAAATTGGAAACTGTGCTTGCAGGGGTCCCCTCTAGATAGCCTTAGGAGTAGGTAGTGAAAGGCAAAAAAAAAATCAGAAGTTGAGAGAAGAATATAGAAAGGAAAAAAAGAATTGGAACGAAACAGAGAAAGAGAAGTTTTTCTTTTTCTTTTTCTTTTTTTTTTGTTTTCTTTGGCAAGAGAAGATCAGCATGGGCCCTGTTTTGCGCGAGGATGACACGCAAAAATCGAGAAATGGTCGAAGTTGTTAGACCTGGGCCGAGGTCCTACTAGCAAAGAGTATTGGATTAAGCTCCTGAATCTGGACGTGTTTTAAGCAGCGATGCCGAAGAGTTGTTCAATCTCCATTTTTCTGCACTTCTGCACAAAGAAGTCCAGATCCAGGAGTTCCTTCCAAACCTCTTTGCTACCGGTAGTGGGACCTCTGCCCTGAAAACTACGGATCTGGTTAACGCAACATGAAAGCACGGGAACCTGTCCAGTTGATGTAGCAACCTCTTTGCTAGTGGGACCTCTGCCCTGAAAACTACGGATCTGGTTAACACAACATGAAAGCACGGGAACCTGTCCAGTTGATATAGCACAGTGGTTAGAGCACCGGTTGGAAAAGCGCATTGTGGTATAAGGTTGCGCGGGTTCAAAACTCAATAGCCCCCTTGCGCATGGACACCGGCAGGGCGTTAGAATGGCCCACGGCTGGACACACACCCCTAGGGCTGTACAGACACTGCCTGCTCACCACCCAACGGGTTGTCCATGGTGTTGTATGTCGGGTCTTGATACTGCGTGGGTTGCTTGCGGCTGTTGCTCGTGGTTGTTCTGTTGATCTCCCTAGTCTGGCATATCACACACAGGGGCCATTTGCGATTGTCGCTCAAATGGTAGAGTCTTCAGGTCACCTGTCACGGGTTCGAGTCTGGCTTGGGACTTTTGGGGGGCTTCTTGTCCAGCTTGGCCTGTCATCTCTTCAAACGAACACATAGTTCCCTCTACATAGTACTGCACATATCTGGCCTTCGGGCACACATATCTCGCTAAACAGTTACACAGAGCACACATAGCCTTCGGGCCGACACAAAAAGCATGGCCCTATGGGCCCATACAAACATACATAGCCTCTGGCCACACACAACTATGATACTGGGCTGGGGGGTTCTATCAGGTATATGACGGGGTCTATACATGCATGGCTTAGCTCTGGGGTAGGGTAGGGATATCAGTCGCTTCAGCTAGTCTGAGTTCCGCCTAGCCTTGGGTAAGCTAGGGGAAGGACGGTGGGATGTGTCCGCAGGCGCTGGCCTGCCTTGTTTAGGCAATCCTGCTGGGTGGACTCTCTGAATTGGACCTGTAGAGCGCTGACCTGCCTTGCTTAGGTAATCCTGCTGGGTAGACTCTCTGAATTGGGCCTGTAGAAGATTGCATGTGCCTGGCGTCCGTAGTTCCCGTACGGCAAGGTTCGTCCGCTTCGGCTTCCATTAGGGCTGGTAGGTTGGCCACAGCCCTGGTGCTTGTCACTGCTGTTCGATCCAAGTTGCCCTCAATGCTGGTTGGGTGATGGTCCTGAGTGCTGGTCACACTGAGGTAGGATAGTAGGGACAGAGGGTGCTCTGGGTGTGATGCCCAACCTCACGCCCAACGTGACTTCCTGATCGGAGTGGGATGTGGGCCTGGAAGTGCGAAAAAGGGTGTGCCAAGGATTTTTGGGAAAGTGGAGTCCCAGGTCAGAACTGAGATCTCCTGTGACAGGGTCTTTCGGGGGCATGCGTGTAATTTGGCGAAGAGGGCGTTTTCGAGTTACGATCGCGGTTCGTTCAGGACCGAGCGAGCCATTGGTTTCGGGGACAGCGGTTTGGGGGTCGGTCCCTTCAACGTAGGTGGGGTTCCGATGAGTCCGTCTGTCGGGAGTTGCCACGTGGCGCTGGTCGTCACACGTGCGGGTTAGGCCTTTGGAACTCCGGGGTTCTTTGATCACCGAGCCGTCGACAATTCTCGCAGGGTGTGCTGGGCCAATAGGGGGCTATGGCCGGCCACGGAACGACGCTGAGTTGATGGTACGGAAGAAGAAGGCGAAAGGGAGGGAAACTGGTGGTGATGACGACAAATCCCGGGTGGATGAAGTAGTATGTATGATCGGGAGAAGGGAAATCAAAGCACCGGGGGTCGTTAGAGGTGGCGCAGTGGAATTCCCGAGGACATAGGCGATTCTCAGTGTGGCAGGGGTATCGTTGCCTTAGGATTTCGTTTATCCAAGGGGTGAAATAAACCGGGTCGTAGGATGAGTCAGAATTCCAGGATCGCGTCATCATGTCATTGCGGTATTATGGGCTGCCTAAGGACAGGTCCGCGGCGATCAAGGTCGCCACGTCCGAGCACGTGCAGGCTGCGCAAATGACGTCGGACTTACGTGTGCTCGTGCGGGACGATTGCGCCGTTGCGGATTCCGAAATGGCCACTCTCAATCGGACAGATTGAGGGTCCCGATGAGTCGACGCCCGGGGATACAAGTAAGTGCGCAACTCAGATCGCGTTTTACGCGTGTCCTTGCGCGGCGTTCACCGAGGCCGGTATCCGACCGCCTAATCGCTTTGTAATGTTCTGAGTTATGCAAGATGCAATGATCACAAAATAGCTCGATCCAAGGACAAGCAAGCACACGGATGGAATCATCAGTTACACAAAATTCCTAGTCTATGCCCGGGTGCATAGAATACGACGGACAAAAGAAAAGACAAGAGATTTCCCGCGAAAGGTAAACAAGCAAGCATAGCCTCCATACATTCGTATCCGCAGTAATCATACACACGATGCCTCAAGGGCAAAGACAGAGATAAAAAACAGTCGAAACTCGACATCCATGGGAATTGCAAAGACAAGTGTGAGCACAAAAATCGAAATCCGGGTTTCGAAGATCAGAAAAGAAAACAAAAACGGGCGGATCCCCCGGAGCCGTATTCAAAACTTATATACACGAGACAGGGGGAAGACGAGACGAAAGAAACAGCAACTCCGCATCCATCAACCTCAACTCTTTCTTCCTCTCCCTTCTTCTCCGATGCGGACAATCCGTCGTCGCGCATCAACCCACAAAGCCGTCACTCCGCTTAGTCCTCCCGCACCCGTCAGGTTCGCTCGCGCCCACAGTCCGTCGTGGCCCGCGTCAACCCCGTGCGTTTGGCACCAGCTCGTCGAGTCGCCCGACTCCTACTCTACTCACCTCTTACTTCGCTCATGTGCCGACCCTTCCTGATTGCGCAACCGCGAGCTTCCAACAACGGGTTAAGAGAGCTAACTAATTGCGCAGCCGAAATTTATAGCGTGCATGCATGCGTGAAGAACACGGAATTACAAGGACTTAGAAGAAGGGACGGGGGAGGAGTTTGCCTACGTCTGCATGGTCTGATCGTGGTGTGGGGGAGGTAGCCGCTCTCCACGCATCGATCTGATCATGCAGATCGCGACTACAAAAAGCGCAGCAAAAAAAAGAGAAGGAGGGCGGGAAAGACGAAGTGCAAAAAGAAAGATACAGTTACAATGGCGCTCGCCCAAAATTACACACACGTACGATTAAGGGCGCCTGCTAGTCAAAGTACCGTTACAGCCGCATGAAGAAGCGCGTAGACAAAAGGCGTCGCGCAACAAGTAAAATCCTAATTACTAAATTTCAGTTCTAATGCGAAGAAGCAAAAGGCACAAATTTTAGAGGGAAAGTCTGATATTCCGAGAGCCATCGGAGCTCGACAAAATTCGAAAAAGACTCAAAAGAAAATTCAAAAAGAACGAAGCACATTCCCGTGCGATGTCCACGTCTAAAAGATCGAAACCGAAACGAAAGAAACGACGTCAACATTTATTTATCACGCTCGCGGTGGCGCGCCAGACATCCAGCCGGCCATCCCAGGACACACCCAGCTCCGAGCCCAGCCAAAAAGAAAGCGATTAAGAAAAGACGAAAAAGCAGGGGTACTGATGCAATTTCCCACCAATCTCAATCTCCCGTAATTGGCCCAACCTTCCCAACTTAGGACCCCTCATTGCAACTGCGCAGAAAATCGCGCGTTACAGAAAGTGGTTCGTCACATGGGAGTATTAACGTGGGGATGGATAGGGTAGGTGACCTATCTTGTCATGACAACCATTGACTGCCGCTACCAGCAATCACCGTGGGTCTGGTCCTTAGCCTCTACAACACCCTGGGCTTAAAAAAAGAAAAGAAAAAGAGCACAGGGACCTGGTAGCCCAACCTGAAACCACGGGGCTACCGGGAACCAAGTCGTACTTATCGCCAATGGGCCTAACTACCCGTAGGTGGTGCATCCATCAACTGTGAAAATAAAGTCTTGGACTCGAGTCCAGGTCTTCCCCCAAACATGAGGAATATGCATTGTAAACGAATACAACGTTGTAATGCATTGTCGCTTAGTGTAGAAAGTTGCCGACCACAAGGGGGTTAGGCCCAGGCTCAAAGATAAATTTCCAAGGCCGTTCAAAGGAATTTTGGGACGTTACATACGTGCAACTCGTCAGTCTATTAGAGACCAGCCCAAGCCTCTAAACAGCGTTGGAACAAGGACTACCACGAGAAGTAAGTTGGCAACAGATGTGTCACCGCTTGCTGCCCATAGTGACAGTGAGATTCCAACCCCCAAGAGATTAGAGTCAGATGGATCTGGAAAAAATGCAAGCCTCAGGATCAGGAGGGGACATGCAAGTCTCAGAACCAAGAAAGGACTCAATTGTTCTATTAGGGAGTGACCAACATCACTTAGAACCAGAGAAAAGTGAAACCATCTCAACTGCAATAAGTCTGGGGTCACAGCGATCAGGGTCATGTCTTG